GGGGCGGTAAATGAAAATTTCCGGTTCTCACTGCACCCGGAATGAGGGGGGTTGTGTGGATTTGGCGACTGAAATAAGCCGCGTGGAGGCGACGGAGTGGGAAGCGTCGTCGGGAGTCGGCGGGGTTTCTGCAGCTGGGGTCGTCCAGAGTTGGGGTTTTGACAGGGTGAGGCGGGGGTTTCAGCAGTCTGTGATGAGGGCGGATAGAAAAAACACAAAACTATCAACAGCAATTATGAGGGCCCGTGGGGGTGGAAGATATCAACACTTTCCAACACACAAAAATCAGACCCAAAAGAATTCTTCCTTATTCAGGGGGGTGGGGGAGAAGCTTGGCAGGATGCCTTGCAGAAAAGAAAATACTCATCTGTCCCAGCACTTTTCACTTTCAGCATGAGCTACATTGTTTTGTTTTCTCTCGCTTCCTTTCGGCCTCACAAAGCCCTATCTTTTGGACAGAGGCTATGGTTTGGAAACTGCCAAGCACACTTGTGGTTAACGATCTCCTTGAAGGGGATGGCAGGATCACAATTATTAAGTGGTTAGGAACTGCTGAGGGTTCACTAAGGTATTTCTGAAAAGCGAAAAAGACTAAATTTTTAGTGTAAATAACAACTGCAAGATAATAGACACATGCATACACATTAAAAAAAAGTGTTTAGTTTAAATGCATTATTGGAAGTTTGACATTTGAAACTGTAAGAATGTCTACTTTACCTGAGAAAAACTGGATGCAGTTATTTAGATGAAAATGAGATGGGTTTTTTTTTGGTGGGGGGGGAGTAAAAGAAAAAAATAGCTGTCTTTGGGTAATAAGTCAGTGTTCTTCAAAATCTCTATCTATAGAATACTTGAAACCCAAACATCTTAAGACAAAACAGAGAGAGAAAGAGAGAGAGAGAGAGAGAGAATGTACTTTGTAGAAAAATTAAAACCAGGAACACTTTAAATTGGAAATATTATAAATTTTTGTTTTTATTAGTTTAATTTCACAGTAGATTTTTTTTTCCTTTATAAAATTCTGTTCTACAATGTGAAGCAAGGTTAAGGGAATAAAAGTTCCTGTAGAAAACTAGTAATCAATTTGCAGATGCACTGTAATTTTTCTTAAATAAAAACAGTGAATACTGATGTACCTTTAAAGGATTTATAAAACACATTTTGTGTTTGAATACATCTTCTAAAATAAAACATGGTTTCTGAGCAAAATCCATCTATAATTTCATGTATATTATATGCTTAAAGTAAATTATTAGATTTTATATTTATAAAAAACTGCATTACTACCAATCACTGGTTGAACTCTAAGCTAGAGATATAAATGGGAACCCTCCATTTTGATCACTGTGCACATTAATCCATGATTTTTAAACAGTATTTACTTGCTGGTAATTCATATGATTATTCGATCTAGAAATAGTAGTCAGTAAGTAGCTGTAAGAACAAACACATGATGTTGTGAATTTATTAGAAAAAATAATATGTTCAAAAACCAGTAAGTGACAAATATCTTTAAAATTAACTAAAGAGTCTTTTGTCTATACTGGGTAGCATTTTCAATTATGGAATTTGACAACCATTATTAGATTAAAAATTCCATGATTTAAATCACCAAATCACTTGGTAAATGTAAAAAAGGAGGAAATAAACTCTAATTATGCCAGGTTTCTAACTCTCTTTGCGTCCTGCTTTTTCTGCTATAGCTTGTGTTTTTTGTTAATTTAGCATTATGCACTTTTCCTGGTTATGGTTCACATTAAGTTGCTGTTGGTTAAAACTTCAGACCCAAAGAAACTTTACAATGGCTTGCACAAAACTAGTAAATATCAGATTATTTTTGTTTATGGATAATTTCCTCTGTGGGTAGCAGGTTATCATAACAAAATTTGTGCAGAGTTTATAAACTATTAACCAAAGTCTGGCTCCTTTGTTGAGGAGCTTTCTGTGAATGAAAACACAGAATTCAAGAATGACGACTCCCACTGTTCTTCCCACATCACATGTTCCACAGTTGCAAATCAAGATCATTTTTATAGGTTTTTAAAAATTAGAATTCATGGATTTATTTCTGAATATGGTGGTGCAGAATATACTAGAAGTTTTCTTAGTGTCACATAAGGGAGATATTTCATGTGTGAACAATTTTACATCAAACTGTGTGTAACTATTTGTTTTCTCTTAAATAAAAATTGAAATTTAAACCTCTGGTATATAACTTTTAACCTTGGTAAAGAAATTAGTAATTTATTTAAAATAGTAATAGCAGGATACATAATTCTAAATCTGATTTATAATAGTAATTCAGATTTATAAACTACTTCTGAAACTTGGAAATGAAGTCTTGCTATGGTTTATTATACAGTGTATTGAAGCTCCATATAAATGTATTTTTGTCTATAAAATTCTCCTGTGTATTGTTTTGATAAAAGCATTTCTGGTTTAATAACTTTGGGATGGGCTAACTTACT